ACTCACCCTCACTCACCCTCATCTTCACAGGTGAGGTGAGGGTGAGTGAGTTTCTGAACCAGAACAATTCATGAGTGTGAGGGTGAGAGGGCCGTAAGGGCTGTGAGGGCCGTGAGGACCGTGAATGCGTGAGGGTCGTGAGGGCGGTGAGTGCGTGAGTTGTGTGAAGGCCATGAGTGCTTTAGGGACGGGAGGGCGGTGAGTGGCGTGAGGGCCATGAGTGCGTGAGGAATATGAGGGCCGTGAGGGTGCTGATTCCGTGAGGGGTGTAAGGGCCATGAGTGCATGAGGGGCGTGAGGGCAGTGAGTGCGTGAGGCCCCCTTCAGACGGAGCAACTTTCTTAGCAGTTTTGATGTTGCTGGCGGGTTGTTTCTAGCTTTCCCTAAATCGACACAAATTGCTGAGATCGGGTACGGCTAGAAACAAGCAAGCAACTCGGAGAAATTCGAAAGAAGACGTTTAAAGCGGCTGCATTAAACCAGGGACGTGATATTTTCGCGTGATACCTCGTGCTGGTGATGATGACACTGAAAGACTTGGTTCTGGTTTTAAATTAATCGTTTTTGGAAATCAACTGCTTCAGAAAGATGCATTATTTTTCTCAACGAGACTTAAATGCATAAAAAACCTTTATAGCGCGTAATTGTGTGCCTAAATAATGCAATAAAAATAAAATTTTATGATGATGGTGGCAACTTACAGCAACTGGTTGCTGTGTGTGAACGCGGGCGGCCCGTGTTGCTGGTGCTGCGACGTAAAGTTCCTGGCCGCTGAAGCGGGCCTCAGTGGCTTGAGGGCCATGAGTGCGTGAGGGGCGTGAGGGCTATGAGTGCATGAAGGCAGTGAGGGGCGTGAGGGCTATGAGTGAGTGAGGGACGTGAGAGTGGTGAGTTGGGGCGTTAGGGCCATGAGTGCATGAAGGCCATGGGTGAGGGGGGGGGGCGTGAGGGCAGTGAGTGGCGTGAGGGGTATGAGTGCGTGAGGTTCTGTGAGGGGGAGTGAAGGGCTGAAGGTGAGTGTGACTGTGAGGATGAGGGTAGGTGATGGGCTGAAGGTGAGTGTAGCTGTGAGGGTGAGGGTGAGTAAGGGGCTTAGGTAAGTGTGTCTCTGAAGGGGGGGGGGGGGGGGGGGTAAGTGAGAGCGACCTAAAATGACGACCTCTGCTTGTCATGCGTGCGAACATCCCGGAGAAAATTTTCTGAGTGCCGAAATCGCAGCATTTTGGAGTGGATCGTCGATAAAATTGGTTTTTGGATTGTAAAACAGGGTTACCAAACTCGAGTGTCGAAAGATCACGCGTGATCGCCGAGAAACTGCCAACCGCCTCTGGGTGTCTGAACGGCGTCGCTCGCGAACCGCATCCGCAACCGCTTCGCAAACGCGGATTCGCTTCCAGTGTGAATGCGCCATAAAAATGCCATTGTTACCGTAAAGCAATCACGCACAGAAGTTCGAAGTCATGTCATAGTCTTCTATATACTGACAAATCATGGCAAATCGCCACGAGAAAGGGCCGCCGAAATGAAGAAGGTGGAGCCGCAGACAACGGATGAGAGGGCAGCGACGTGATTGGCGCCCCGCTACAGCCAGACGAGGGAGCACACTTCTTCGAGTGGACATGTGTGTTTCGGGTCCTCGCCGCTGCACAAGTTGTGCACTGACGTCCAGGTTCCCCGACAAATGGATGTTGGATACATGTGCTACCAGATCCCTGCGCTCCAGATCTGCGACCGGACAGTCTATGGTTCCGTCGTCGAGCCGACATGCTTTGTGAGTATAGAGGAGGCTATGGTCATGCGCATTCGCTTTGCGAGTATGATTTAGCCGAGAATCGCAGAGACGAAAGTACGACGAGTTCCCATGACAGTGCACTTTCGGCGCTGCTTAAATGGCTAAGTTGGACTGTGGCCTAGACTGCGCTGGGACTTGGGGAGAAACTGAGCGTAGCGCCTGTACCCTCTCACTGTAGAGTGCTGCATATATATACAAAGTGTCCCTAAAAGTTTGTTTTATTTTTTTCAACGTAAAAATAAACTACCCAAGCAGCACGGAATTTGGCCAAGCATTGGCCAATGACTGGCGACAGCCTTTTGGCCGGTGGCCAAAGAGTGGCCTTTCATCGGCTAATGCTCGACGGATGGCTGATGGCCAGTGGCCAGTGGCAAGTCGCCAGGGACAGGCCAGACATCAGCCAATGGCTGGCAACTGCCTGGTCACTGGCCAAAGGACAATTTTTAGCCATTGGCCAATGATTCACCAAATCTTTGCAAATTGGGCGCACGTAGCCGAACGCCCATTTTCCGCCCAAAGGTAGCGCTAGAGGTCGGAACAAGATGCCAAAGTTTCAGCCCGAATTAATACATTATTCAAAAGTTATAGCTGATTTTCTTAAATTTTCGATTGAAAAACAGAGCCGATTATCGGTCTTTTTCGGTTTCTGGTGCCATAGAGCTCAACAATTTTTAATGAGGCATCGGTTCGGGCAGAAACTTTGGAATCTGGTTTGGACCTTTCTACCACTACCTTTGGGTAGAAAATGAGCTCTGGGCGATGCGTAGTTTCTTTTAGCGGCTAAAAAGACCCTGTAAATTGTTTTCGTGGACCCCCTGCATATAACTTACCGCCAAACCAATACTATGAGCGCCGCTATAAAGCAGCGCTTAGATGAAGATAACTTGACGTTGTATCGGCACAGTGCAATGATATAGCGCGAAGTCAGCGCCGCCTCGTTTCGAAGTCAGCTTTAATTGCGCCGCTGTCTAATGGCGATGAAATTGGGCTGCGCGGCGGGCGTGAAAGACATTTAGTTTGAAACGGCGGTAATAATCTAGGCAACCCTTTAAGCCAAAGGAAAAAAAATATGGTTTTGATCGGTCGTTCTGCAGATGAATACTTTGAAAAGATAGAATACGTTCTATTTCCATGCGCGCAGCCGTGGAATAATGGAATGATTCGATCCCCCCCTCTCCCCATCTAACAAAATATTTATACAAATAATTAAAAAAAACGATTAGAAACACAGATTTATTTGATTTGAATTACAGTATTGTCAGAAAAAAAAAAGATTATTCACCACAAAGTGATTCTTTTTTTTTTGTCGTGGCAGGTATAGATAAATTCGTCCGATCACTGATAGAGGTGCGTAAGAAAGAATTACTGCAAATATAAAGTAGAGTTTCATTAACAACTGTTTGCCAATTGAACCCTGGCCACATAGTAGAACCAGAGTACCTTTATGTTTTTTTTTTATCTTTATATAATTTTCTATTTGATTAATTTTTTCCGAGCTCTAATTTGATCCCAATGCATTACTTCTCTAGTTGTCTTTTCTTTCCGTTACGTTTTCATTTTGTAAAAGCATGACTTTACTAGCTCACGAACAAAATGGAATCAAGCTCAACTTCCCGAGTAGCTTAAAAGTGCAGTTACGTTTGCTCATGTTCAGTCTTATATAAGCTTCGATTTATGATTTTTTTTACTAGCATACAAAACAATTGCACAAAAACAAGAATCAAATTATATACCTATGGTAATAAATTTTTTTTGGTGATCCCTTACCGGGAAAAGGTTTTAGTTAAATTATAAGTGTGAAAGTGTTTCGATTTGTGTGAGTCATCATTTGAACCAGGAATTGATTATCGATTTACATCATCTCGAATTTTTTTCCCATCCTAGATTCAATACAGCTTTGTAGCGCTTCTCAGTCGGGCAGATAATGTCGAGTTCACGCATGCGCGGCGTCTGATATTCCCCACTGCTGCGCCTGCTCAGAAGGCGCTTCACTGCCCAGCATACAAAGGTGGTAGACTGGAAATGGCGAATATTGGAATGATCCATAGCTCAGCTAGCGATGTGCCTCAGGGCTTGAAGCCCGTCATGCTGGATTTCTGTTGCTCCGGTGGGTGTTCCCTTAGGGAGTTTCCTGGTAGGCAAGACGTACATATCATTAAACGGGTTGAAATTCCTCATCAAATAGCGTCACACGACTATTGGTGTGGAGGGTGTGACTGTAGGCCCATTGAGTACGTCGATCCAGTAAAAGCTCTTGCGTATAGTTATATAGTTTACGGTATAACAATTTTTTTTAAGTTCTTCGTATTCACGTACCAGAGTTAACTTTTTTCTCTTAGAAAATATACTTTTCAAAAGCAAGGTGTTTGGTAGCCACGAAATTTTAAGTATTGCATATTAACCGCGAAACATCTGCCATCACTTTTTAAAATCTTTTTGTTTATTTCTTTTTTGTTTTGGCACACCACAGTGAACTTTCTTTCTCTCTTTCTCTCTCTTGGAAAACTTTTGAAAAGCATGGCGTTTGATACACCAGAAATTCCATGTAATATAAATTTAGCGCACTTCATCTGCTAACATTTTATTTGCTTTTCAGAGAAATTGTCGTACTTAAACGATTCTGGAACTCTGATTTTAGAAGACTGCACATTGCATAAGGTAAACTGAGACCTTCTATTCAATGTGATGTTCCGCAAATCAAAACAAACTAATAATAATCTTTATTTTGTTGGGTGTCCAAAAACAGCACAAGGCCTAAATAGTGGTACACCGCTTGTCATCAAGGATAAAGGTGCCTGTATTAGGTACTACGTGTTTTCACTGACCTCCCAGACAACTTTCTTTTATTGCTTCCAGATAGAAGCTCAGGAAATCATTAAAACATTTGAAGCGGTGAAATGTATTTCTTAGATACTTTATTTTTATTTCCCTAACTAATCGCTTTTGATACAACTTGCTTTTGAAAGTGTTGCATAGTCTTTTTGTCATCTATCTGAAAATTTACTCTCTAGGTATGTTACTTTGAATACAAACGCTTTACATACTTATGTATAATTCTCAATCTACCGAATTCTCGTCGCCCGTCGAACAAGGGACAGACATCTTTGAGGCTTCCGCCAGCTTGTTATTGTACTGTACAATATATATGTTTGAAATGACACTATTCTATTCTAGCCTTATACTACTCTATCGTAATATAGAACAAATCTTGCAGTTTAAACTCCCAATGACTTTATTAGCAAGAGCATATATCCTTCTAAATTACATATAAACAAAATACAAATTCCGCGACTACAAACACCCTGATCATTCTTTACTGCAAGACAGAAGTCGATAGTTTAGGTATCCTGGAATGTGCATAATACGATTTTCAATTTATCCACCGATGGCGGGCGGAATTTGCTTGGCCCAATTACGAATCCTTTTGGCCCATTTTCCGATGCCATATTCCAGAGCCTCGTCGCCGTCGAGTGCCGCATCCAGCGTTTTGCCCTCTTCGAGTGCGACGTCTAGTTTCCCAAGTAGAGCGCCAATCTCCTTCAGGTCCATGGGGCTGAAATCTTCAGCGTCGTCTCCGTCACCGTCCTCCACAGTGTAAAAGCGCCCAGTTCGCAGCGGCCACTTGCCGATGTTCCTAAGAGCGTTACCGACGACATCCACCGAGTGGTAGCTATCAGCGTCATCTGAAAATAGCCATGTTAAACAGGACATCAGTTGGTTACTTACCAGAGGTTTAAGAAAAGGCAGTCAAATATCCAGTTCCACCGTACGAAGAAGCGTTACCAATCGGGCTCTATCTTTACAGCGTTCTGCAGATGCTGCGAAAATGTAATACGCAGTCGTAATTAACTCACAAATATTATATCTGTAGTAGGGTGATTTCATCCCAAATCGTGCAAGCATAAATGATACGGCTAGAGAAAAGCTGCAAATTAAAGCTATGGTAATTCATTTGTTCTTGAGTTTTGGGCTTCGAAAGGGGAAAAAGCAGGTCTTGCGATGTTCGCAGTTTTCACTAGTGACACATTTTGGAGTCTCGCAACGTTTAGATTATTTGTTTGTCAGCAATAACTTTTTTTAATGTTTTAATACTTTATATGAAAGGGTTGTTTTTCACTAGAAATTAATTTTTTTAAACAATATAAGCAACTGAATCTTGCACCTTTAACAATAATGGGTTTGTTTGAATCGAGCTAGCTTTCCATGCACAATTATTTAAGGCACAAGATATATATGGGATGAAAGACTGTATGTAAGTCTATATAAAATATCAATAGTGTTAATTTAAGAAGACTTTATATAAAAAACACTGTAAATATGAGAAAAAAAGCTAAGAGTACAAATTTCAACCTCAGTTAAAAAATTGAGATTTTTTAAAAAAATATTTCCCACATGAAAATCATTTTATGTGTTCTCATATATGCTATACAATATATATGCATATTTGGTTTTGTCATATTAAGCACTGCGTTTGAAGAGAAGTCATATTTGTACCTCCATTCTGCTACTCATATGTCACTGTTATTTTGTTTTTCAATTAAATATTAGTTATTTTTGTAATATAATCATAGATTTTATTTCTTCTTGAATCTGCGCACATTTCGGCAAAACTTATGCGGCGATAGTAGCTATTGTAAATTATTGTATTGGGCTGTTCGCCACGTTGCGTTTGCTCACTTACTAACTAACGGTTTACTAAGTAGTAGACTAAGTGGTTCCCCAGAATACGTGGGATTGCGACCGCATGAAAGAAGCAAAATTTTGCACTCGGCCCGCTAGGTTTCTTAAAATAATTTATCTCGCCCTTTTATTGCTTTATATAGAGGTTTGAAAAATAATTCTCTACTTGTTAAATAAAAAAATGCGTTTCAATATGTTTATTTAAAGAAAAGTAGTGAATCTAGAGGTTTTATATGAACTGGACATCTGCATGAACGTTTTTCTCTAATTATAACATAGCAGTCATGCCCCATTTTTACTAAATGGTACATGATGTATATATAAATACTATAGGCAAGTTACAATATATATATATATATATATATATATATATATATATAATTACTGAAACGGTTTGGGCATCGCCCGGGATCTTTTATTCTTTGAAATTAGGTAAAGATGTCTTCCTTTCAAACGCACTGCTTAATATGACGAAACCACATATGTTAAAGAATTGTTCTTGCTTATATAAGAACACATTAAAGATTTTCATATAAAACTAGAAAACAAATAAATAAGAATGCATATTTTTACAAAATGACACTGAATTTCGAATTTTTTAGCATATCTTCTCAAGTTTACCGTGCTTTTTATATAAACTATATTTAAATTAACGCTATAAATATTTAACTGGCTTAAATACAAGCTTTTATTTGACATCTTTCTTCTGCCTTAAATAATTGCAGATCGAAAGCTAGCTCGATTCAAACTTGGCCTAATATTTTGAAAGGATTAAGATTCAGTAATATTTATTTTATAAAATAAAAAAATACCATTCTAGAACACTTTAACCCTTCCATACGAAGTCTTACAGCCGTAAAATATAATGTGGATGCTTGGGCAAGTTGGTAATACATGCTTGGATGGAACAGGGCGGATGAACAGTCACACTCTCATGCACACAACGAAGAGACAGACTCGCAGCGCTGACTTACAACTCAGTCCTATATTTCTTCTTTCTGAAATTCTCATTAACGGCAAAGGTGAAGAAGTTGAACATTTGAGGAAGAAGAAATATGGGACTGAGTTGTAAGTCAGCGCCGCGAGTCTCTCCTTCTTGTGTGCATGTGAGTGTGACTGTTCATCTGCGCTGTTCCATCCAAGCGTAAAAATATTTTAATTCTTAGAAGAAAAAGTATCTAGAAGTTTCGATATACCAAATGGGATCACTCGTGAAAACTGCAAAAATGGCAAGGCGTACCTGCCCTTTCAAAAAAAATGCTCAAGAACAAAAATGTTCTGTAGTTCTAATTTACAGTTCTGTTCTGGTCGCGCATCTTCCACTAATATATTTTTTCTTAATGTTTTGAAAACACATAATTTTTTTCTTGCACTGTTTGATATGAAATCACACAGTAATTAATCCCAGCTATATGTGGGCTTCAGATGATAGCATCAGTATTATTCTTAATATATTTCCATTTTAAGTTAGTAGAAACTTTATTTATTAGAAAATAGTTATGTTTAAGTTCCTGGGCATTTCAGAAATGGAATTGCTTTGTCCTTGTCATTAGGATATATTAGACAAACTTGATAAACACGCCAATTGTTAAAGTTCTTCAACATCATTTAAAATATTTCAATAAAAAGAATTTTTTTTCTGTGGAATATTCAAATAAGAAGATACACATTAACCCTTATTAATATTACCGAAGAATATAAAAAAAAAGTTTTGTGAAACTTTTTCCTCCAGAACATTTTTGCCAAGCTTAGTCGTATAAGTGTTTATAACTTCTAGAACCCTTTCCGCTAAATCTGGTTTCTCAAGTCTGTTGGCCATGCCGTTTAAAGATAAGTCCGCAAGTAGTTTTTGCGGCTTGAGTAAATTAGTAATATATATGGTAAACATTCAGTATGTTATAGAAGCTATTCAAGCCCGTAACGAACATAGCAAAGCCTATAAACAAATATATTTTAAATATAAATCTGACTTTGAAAGCGATAAACGTTTTGTTTTTGTATTTTTATCAAACAATTATGTATTACATCCGATTTATTGTGCTTCACTTCTTTGTTCTACAACTGTGAAATACTGAATAAGCTGCATTTAATTTTTATCTTAGATAATATTCCTTGGGCAGTGTATAATCCTTTAATGCATACCATTCCACATTCTTAGCTATACTATGGCGATTTAGCATTTCCGCATTACTGTCCTGAACTATCTCGGCCTAGCTCTAACGTATCTCACACGTATTGAAGTCCGATGTTAACTCACCTTCCTTCGGTGGAGTCACAGGCTCACTGAAAGTACAAAAATGCTCATTACTTTTTAGGAAAGAAAACTAGGTGGCTCATCGATTTATTCAAATACTAAACTATTCGAATAGTAAAAGAAATGTAAGTCTACTCACACCACCCGGCCATCTGCGAAAAGAACATGCATAAAAAGTATTCGTAAGTAAGTTAAATGCATAAATTTCTTGTAGCATTCGATAAACTTTGCTGTGTTACTCACAGGCGACGGCCGCAATCACCAGAAGAAGCGCAGGCACCAAGATTTGCATGGTGGCTGTATTGAAAAGTAATTGAAGAATTCAACAACAAATAAAGCTTCAAAAGTATTGTCCTATAATTCCAAGCTACGTAACAATGCAATCATTTTAAAATGATTACCTACAACAGCGAATGTCGTCTGCTGTTTTTCATTGTTAAGATACCCTAAATGATGAGCACGAACTGAACTTGACATATGCATCTGGAGGATGGAGTATTCAGAGAGACAAATGTGTATTTTGAGCAACATGCTTGACTGGACGTGAATGTTTTGATAACTATAACTGCTCTTGTCAAAAGAAATAATAGACCGCTAGTTTGTATTAAGTTGTGTTATATTATCAACAAGCTAACTCCAACCAGCTGCTTAGGTCAGTGGTTCTCAACCATCGATATTTCGCGGACCCCTTATGTATTAGCGGAGATAAGGGAGGACCCCATCGTGGTGAGAGGAAAGGAAGGGTACAGGTTAATTATAATATTGAGTTAAGTAATTTATATAACTAAGGGTTAGTGTGAAGTAGACCTCTCTTATTGACATACCCACGACAAAACTAGACCGAAACCTGAAACATTTCTTTTCGAACTGAAAAAAGACAGCTTTTATTGCCGGGCTCGACTGACGAGGCAGGGCTTCGCGGACCCCTAGAATGCCTTCGCGGATCCCTAGAATGCTTTCACTGACCACCATTTGAGAACCACTGGCTTAGGTTACTCGATAATATAGTAGAGCGTATTTAGGTTATTTTTACTGTCTTTTTGTTGACCTTTTCTAGTAGATTAATGGATTCGATATGCTTCTGAAGCAGAGATATTTGTTGTCATTTCATCTTGTTCTACATAAACGATAAATGATTTGCCTCGTTCTCAAAAGGTATTCCTAAACCTACATATTTAAATCTTAATTGAGCCAGACAATATTTAAACATATACATATTATTAGGAGGCTCCGACAAACGTCTTATTGCGTGGATCATCATTTAAAAGAAACTTTTATGCGAGGCAAACTAGAATAAATTTATACAAAAGTCTATCAAAATTCTTTGCGCAATGAAATGACCCGTGTAGAGCTTTTTTAATGTTATTTAAAAAAATCGACTGCTACACCCCAAGACATACATAAATTACCTTCTATAAGTAATATAGAGAATGAAAAAAAGAATGCTCTTTCTTAGAAATGCTATTTCAAAACGGTTGATTAAAATCCAGAGTTTGTCTCACCTGGAATAATATCTTGGAGACTGTTCTGCCTGCGTTCCGCGTGATGATTGTCTTTTATACTCCCAAGTCAGAGTAGAAGACTACATGGAAAATCCCACATCTAAATGTGCTATCATTCGGCAGATATGAAAGCTACGTAAAGGTGTTTTTTTTTCGTCTGCCAGCGAATCAGAAAATGTCTGGACTTACCAGTGACATGTATATCTCTCCACTTCTTTGCATCGAAAATACCAGCGACTGATAAAAATTGTAAAAACCCAGGGGCTGAGAGGAACTATAGAAGGACAGACGTACAAATGCATGCGGGTACCCAGGAGTTGCAGGTCAGTCCGATAAAACCGCCCTGTAGTGGGAAATACTTATCTGACATCAGATTGCTTACTCAACGGAGGACAATAAAACAGTATCATAAAGGCTTCTGTCAAGAACCGATATCGCTGGTTGAATACCAAATCGCCTTTACATTCGCACTTATTAACACAGAAAGTGTTCGTAGGTGCATACATTGAAAGGGAATTTTCGAATTGATTTAATACTGAAATGCTTAAGATATAGATATAATTAAATGTAAGAAGTTTAGATATAACTGAAATTTATAAACTTAACATAAAACTGAAATGCTGAAATCTACATTATATAGAGTGACACTTAATTAACATTCGAATCTCCTTAGATGCATCATTTTCAAATTGTTTGTGAATAACTCCTTCGCGCTAATACAGATGTACTAGTTCGCTCTCAGCAGTGAAATAGACCTCTTAAGGCTTATACCTTTCATAAAGCTCTAAGATTAAACTAATTTTGTCAGCTTTCGCTTGCTATTACAAGTGTTCACAATTTATTTTCTGATATTCAGTTTATATTGTAGCACTATCAATATTCTATCTTTGTAACGAGATGTTTAAATATTGTCTGGCTGTGAGTCTGCAGGAAATTATTATTCGCGTTCCTGCTCATTTCAGGCTGTTCAAATTTAGCAAACCAGACCACGATATCAGTGTGTTACAAGTAAGTCCTACAAGGCAGTGCATAGGAAACAAATAACTGTTATTAAAAAATATGGCCAAGGTTTTTTTTAGCTGTATTCATCTATTTGTCTCAATATATTGCACTGTGCGGATTACAGCCACAATACTACTAATATTTTGAATGAGAACATTATCGACAGATATCTGTCTGGTTCAGGAAAGATTGTGTAAACGGAAGAGCTCTAACCAATATTTATTTGGTTGGAGCTCTTTCATTTAAAAGCGAATATTTTACGCATGTGCAATTGATTGGTTCGAATTTTTATTGGGCATTAATACCAACACATCAAGATTTTTATTAGACGCTAGGCATATAATAAGTGTGATAATAATACTAGTAATACATCGTAAATAGGAATCAATAACAGGACAGTGCTTTTTTTAGGGTTTCGAAGTAACTGCAAAGTAAAGTGGCACTGGCGATTATCCTGAAAGTCAGCATTTCACTGCACACACAGCATATTCTGGAATGAATATTCTTTATTGGAAGTGACTCTCACACTAAAATATTTGCGCTGTCAAGTTTAATTGAAGTAGTATAAAGCGCGTCGACTAAAGATGTAATGCGCTCAGTCATTCTACAGCAACGCAATCACTATATTCAGTTCGTTTGAAAAAGTATAAATATTTAAAAAAAACATTCTGTTAAGTTCTACTTGAACAAAATAAAGCTGGTATCTTCATAGTACTGCTCAAACCGATTAGTATTATGTGTTTAAAAGGAATTGAACTGTGTATAAAAGAGTTAATGCAAGTGTTACAGGTTTCACTCAGCAAAATATGACATTCTCATAAATTTCTTACATTCACAATTTTTCATCTTATAGATGTTATTCATGATACTTATATTGTAGCATTAAAACATCAAAAGGCGAAACACCCTCTCAGTTGTTAAATTATTTGTAATGCTATAATTGTTATTGTTAGGGAAACATAAAACAATAGCTCCTTTTACCGGAGTCCAAAACCCACTTTATATCCACCCTTTTCCAGATTCTCTCTTAACTCTACAAGACATTTTTAATATTTTGAATAAAAGTCCCAGAAAATGAAGAGCTCCGATAAGTGCTCTTGTGGTCTCAAATGAATTAGTTTGTCGGGTACACTTCTGTAGGAGAAATATTAATTGATATAATTTTAAACTAAATATTCCCTCGGATGCGGAAGCTTTCACATATTGGTATGTAATTGATCACACTGATGACGCCTCTTTCTCTTCAGGATTACTTCAAATATTATTTGTTTCTAACCTAAGTTAGTTAATGCGCGCAGTTCAGATGTTTATAATAAATACTTAAGAACCAAATCGGGAATTATCTTAGGTTCTCAAAGTCAGCTTCTAGAAACCCAGGAGGTCCGCAGTGTACGTTATGTGTTCCGAAAGCTCCCAAGTTTTGTCGGCTGCCTCGTCTTTTGAGCGAAGTGTTTTCTTTGTCTTAGCAATGTTTTATTAGATCAGAGTCCCCCATCGATGCATAGGTATGTGCAGAACACAATCTAGCATGCGCACTATATTTCACATGGTGTGTAGCCTGCTGCACTACTTTATTGCACCGAGACCAGACTCAGAGGCGTTCGGTCGTTGTTATTCGAGGCAGATATGAGTTCTTTAAGATGTGAATTTTCAAGAATCTCACCCTAGGATAAAGAGTAATTAAAACATGCAAGGAACGCCTACAAAGGTGAGGAAACAAAAATGGCTAATGACGAAGATAACATTTCTGAATCACTGCCTTAATGTCTTGGTTTGCTTCAAGTACACCACACGATGTGTAGCTGAAATGATATTGAATCAAAAATACTGTTCAGCCACCCTATGGCCGTTCTGACCTGGAAGTGCCCAGTTTCAGACTTTCTTTTAATTTGACAAGAGCGAGCCTGCTGTAATACTGTCGGCTGGCGTTATTATATAAAGAAATCATTTTGAAAATTCCTTAACGTGCTTTTCAGATGCAATTTTTTTTATTAGAGACACAGTGTTAATATCTAAGTACTTTATACATATTTATAAAATCCGGTATTCCTTTCACGCTTTAAAACTCCTACTTTGTATAAATTTGTTATATTTTATATCCAACCTATGAAGAGTCATGCAGAAAGACCACCTAGAGTCTAGTGTCAATTATTGGCTTATTTTCTATACTGCGGTATCAAAAGTCTCTTAAGGCCTTATTTGTAAGACCCGCGAAAAAAAAAACAATTCACCGTTGAAGTTCTCTAACATTACGGAGTTGTGATAGGTCCCCTAAACCGGGATAAGATCAAACTCGAACTGGAAATATTTGATGCCTTGAATGGTGGCACACTCTGTAAAAGCTAAATAGACATTTCCTATGCGTGTTAAAGATCACTTCTTTATTTCAGAAATTAACAAAGCTATAATGTCTATAATCAAAAGAACATTTTATAACTGCTTATTTATCCCTTGACGATGGCTGGCCTTTTCCTGGTCAACCCACGAATCCTCTTAACCCATTTACCGATTCCGTGCACCCAACACTCCTCGCCCTCAAGCGCTGTATTCAGAGTCTCGCCTCTCTATGGAGAGACGGCCAGTTCCTGCATTTCAGCGCCAGTCGCCTTTAGGTCCTTGATGCTAAAGCCTTCGGCGCTAGTTTCATTACCGCCCTCGCCAATGCAAAGCGGCCTCTTTTGCTAAAACCACTTACCGAACCTCTGAAGCGTAACACCAACCGGCTTTCTCCAGCGGGTCGAAGTAAGCGTAGTTTGAGGATGCGGATTTGAAAACATTTAATTATTCTGTCAGCTCAGAAGGAAGAAATGCTTGTAAATGCAGATTTTGAGTCGTACCGCATTTTGAAGCAATACCAGGCCAAGCAAATTTATTCCTGTTCTTTTTTTTTTTTGACACGAAAATATTGCGATGACTGATTGATAATGAGCTCATTCAAATATTCAGGTTCATTAACATGAAAAAAATCACATGCACAATTTGAAACAGCAGTGATAAAAATGAATACTGATCACTTAAATAATGTAGTCACGTAACCTAAAAGAAAATCGCGGTTGCTGTTCATATCAGGGTTCTAATTTAAATTACGTGGGCTTCATCATTAGGCAAATTAGGGCAACATGTTTATTTATGCCAATATGCAAGATTAGTTTTATGAAATGTTTTATGAACTCTCATGAATAAAAGGCACCCACAAAGGTGTTTTTTATTCATTATGATTTTATATGAATCATGGTATCAAGCCCGCCGCGTTGTCCTTAATAAGTGTTATTGCCAAGCTAGAAAACAAACCTTGTCACTTTTTTTTAATACAAATTAAAAATTACTTCTTTTACTTCTAGTGCTATCTCTGACAAACTCGGTTCTTGCATTGACTTTGTCCTAGTTCTTGAAGCTAAATAAACAAATTCTTCTTCTTGCTCCATTTGTAAATTTGGTAACTGATAATTTCCCCTAAAAGCCTTCCTCTTCCTTCACACAGACGTGGAAAATATAAAAAACATATAATGTGTAAAATTAGACTCAAAATGTATTAACTAGGCAATTCATTATGTATAGCCGTTACATATGGTAATCTTTCATATCTTAAAGAAGCTTTCTCGCAGGCCTTTCTACTACAGAAATTCCATAAAGTTGGATAACTGACATGTCCTTTTGTTTCTATCGAAAGAAAAGCATTTTCAGCTTCCATAAAAGTTTAAGGTGCAGATTATTCAGTATAGGTCATGATTGTGTGACGTTTATGCGGCGCAAAAATCAACTGACTGCAGTACAAACGTAGCCCTCGCCGCTATATAAATAAAAATGACCGTTGAACTGAATATTAGATCACTGTCTTCCGGGTAAATCAGAGGTTTGCTGTACGTAATTAATAGGAGTGTAAATTTTGTAGAGCAAAATATGAATGGTTTATAAAAAATACATGAAAGCTCTAATATAGAAGTCTACTCACGCCACCCGAACACCACTAAAATAACATAGGAATCATGTGTAAATGACGCAAAGACTTCGATTTTTTAGCAATTTAAGGGTCATAAACGCATGTTGTGCGTGGTTCTTGGATAGATTTTAGTTACATGAATATAATTCACTGTGGTGAT